GGGCCAGGGGTGCGCGGCTTCGGGCTGCCTGAGCCGGCGTGATTCAGCGTTTCTCGAGTAATACCTGTATAGATCCCCCCCCGCGCCCCCCGACCCCATTTCAGAAACCTTTCAGCCCCGAGAACGGCGCCCATGATTTTTGCTTCCCAGCCCTCCTCGTCTCCGGCATCTGCTCCTCAGCTGAAGTCTCCAGAATCCTCATCGTGCCGCCCTGCGAGGGCGTATTTTATTTTCTGCCCTGATCCCGCCGCAGAGCCCGCAGCAGGCTCCAGGGAGAAAGCAGCAGCGGGGAGAGGGTGACGCCTCGCTCACCAGGGCCTCTCCCCGTAGCGGGAGCACCCCCGGGGGATGAACACCCGCACCTCGGGAAGAGCCGGGCCTTTGTAAGGACGGTAAAGCGTTGTCAGCAATCACTGTTACTCTTACACTAATAGATCACCTATCCATCACCTTTGAGCATAGTCTAAATATATAAAATCTAGTACAAGTAGGCTTAAGTTACACACTGGCCCACAGTTCCAGCAAGGTTATCATCAGCTTGCTGCAAACCTGTTTTATCTTCACGCACTAGGGCAACTAATTGGCGCTGTATTGTGTATCTATCATTTCCCAGAGAAGCATGTCTGTGGTCAGGGGACGTGGAACCAGGCTTGCAAGAACTTGGACCAAATTCAATCCTGTAATATAAATATACATGTTACTGCAACCATACTAATATCTTTGGAGTAATACAGAAACCTGATATAAAATACACAGTGGTAGAATGGAAGTGTGTCAAGAACAGAAATGTTTCTGTTTATTTAGAAACCATTAAGATTTTAATTGAAAAATCATTGAAGCTTTCATAGCATCCCCTTGCTTTGATACATGGACATATCACACGATACAAGTGACACTGTGCAACCCTTTGCATTCCTGGATCCCATTTCTTAGGGTCGTTTGGTTTTAAAGAACTTAGGTAGCAAAAATATTGCTCAGTGATTCACTTGGGTTTTCTGTCAAATTAATTACAGGGTACTTTTCCCCCCTAGGAGGAAACCCAAGTTATAAAATGCCACAACTGCTGCTGTCAAACATAGTAATTATATGCAAAACTAGGCTAAATTGAAACCAGCATAAAAAGGTATTATTTAAAGTGATCCTGTCATTTACTATGGTATAGTTCATTTACAATATTTTAATTCTGAAAACTGCATTTCAGGCAATTGTTTGGCTGGGCTAATGCTACCAGGGGAGAATTCTTTGTCAGCAGGTATCCATTTCAGCTCCAAGGACATGTACAGGTATGAGTTTTCTCCCTAAAATGTATAGATGTTTTTGAAGCCATTCCCTATTCTTGTATATGTACAGAACACTCAAGTAAACAAAGTCTTTGTATTAAATATGCATGCAGTTGTTGTTTCCAGCCCATTTCTGCACAAGTGTTTTCCAAGAAGCTCTTGCATTTGCTGCTATGCAATGCTCCCTGATACCAGTCAGCCCAGCTGCAGCTTTCCCCAAAGTGAAAGCAGCAGGGCTGTAGAAGTATTTCTGAATTTTCCGGTGCTGTGCCAAGCAAGTTACAAAGATGGCTGCAGAAAAGCATTGCATAACTGTTCCCCTAGTTTCACTTACTGTATTTTAAGCACTTCCCCGCGCTTATTTTGTCCAATAGGCATTTGTGTCAAACCAAAGCACATAGATGCAACTAAATTTGTAAAAATATGGATACTAGGACAAATTTTTGCATTCCAGAAGCAAAATTTTCCCATATGTACCAAGCTAGGTACCGGGCAATGTACCAAGGAAAATGGACACCCAGGACAGAAGCAGAGATAAGAAACCCATAGGTACTTTGCAGCATAGTAAATCATTAGTGTCCACATTTGATTTTGGCTTTGCAGAAACCTTTTAAATATACTTTCCTACAACTACCTGCAACCTTTATTTTCCATAAAATACATGAATCTGTGTAGATACCCTAATCCTTTTTCCTTCCCGATTCACTGCCTCTTTTCACCACTTATCAAATACCTGATTGCTAGAAGGTTGCACGCTACTCAGAGTAGTAGCTGTACTAACTTTTACCTTGAGCTCTGAAACACCAGCTCCAACAAAAAAAAAAAAACAAAACACACACACAGACAAAAAAAAATCACTTAAATGAGACACAAGAGGTGTGTGTGTGTTACTAAGGCTCTCCAACTTCCTGTAGAAACCAGAAGCTCTCATATGTAAGACTGTTTGTTTTGTTTCGGTTTTGAAAGAAGGGAAAGGCAAAGGACAGCTTTGTCCTGAAGAGTTACTACCTACCGGGAATTCACTCCATGCGGGCTGAAACTCCCCACACCGCCGGGAACCTTCCCCGAGCGCGCGCTTCCCCAGCGGCTTGCAGGCTGCCCCGGCTTCCCCTCGGGCAGCCTGAGGGTCGCTGGAGCAGGCCGGACAGAGCCACGACCTGGCCAAACCTGGAGGATGAGTGCAGCTTACCACCAGATCCAGAGGTTCGCTCCGCCCTACGTAGATGCTTCCTACACACTTGTGAGGGTGGGGATGCGCACTGTTCTTACCACAGAAGACGAAATTTGCAAGCCAGAGCTTACAAAGCTTGGCAGGCCTGCTCTGTTTGAGCTTGTCCTGACCTGCCTGCAGCTATGTTTTGCTTGGCACAACTGTTGACAGCAATTTCTTATTCTATGTGGGCATGGTGGTGTTGGGTTGGTCATGCTCAGTATATAAAGCTGGGTGAAGAAGAAGGAAGGGGGGGGACGTTTGGAGTGATGGCGTTTGTCTTCCAAAGTAACCGTTATGGGTGATGGAGCCCTGCTTTCCTGGAGATGGCTGAACACCTGCCTGCCCATGGGAAGGAGTGAATGAATTCCTTGTTTTGCGTGGCTTTTGCTTTACCTATTAAACTGTCTTTATCTCAACCCACGAGCATTTTCACTTTTACCCTTCTGATTCTCTCCCCCATCCCACCGGGGGGGAGTGAGCGAGCGGCTGCGTGGTGCTCAGTTGCCGACTGAGGTTAAACCACGACACGGTTGGACTCAGTGATCTTAGAGGTCTTTTCCAACCTTAATGATTCTATGATTCTTGAATTGACTGTCCGTATCTAATATGTTTTACTTTCATTTATCTTTGCACAGTACAACTGCAGTTTTATGTAGAGAGCAGCAACAAACAGTTGTTCTAGGTGGGATGAGATATTTAGTACTCTTACACAATGACATAGTGAGGAGAAACACAGGCCTGGTACAACAACAAAGACCTTGCGATGTGAAGACACGGGATGAAGGATTGCAGGCAGGAGTGATAAGACGTGCAAGTGTTATATAGATGACATAACATCATTATTTTTTAACAATAAAACAGGAGCCTAAAGCATGGTGCAAAATTGTGCAAAGATGCATCAGCAGAGGCAGGAGGGGGAAATGACCCTTCTCTAGCCTATGCATGATAACCAGGTCAGCCTATACTGGCCTGAAATATTCTCCTTATCGTAGATGCCTCTGGATTTGAACAAAGTAAACGTTGGGAGCTATTAGGAGCTGTTGCCACATTCTCCACAACACAATGTAATGCATGGCACGAAGCCAGGCTGAAAAAAGCATTTTAGTGACTCATAAGTTTCTATTCCCCTACTGGTGGCTGTTCAAGCTTCTTTTGCAAATTCAGACATAAGCTGAAGTTTCACTTTCTGGTTCCCATTAAATGACTCATAGATCACATGAGGGCTGGAGCACATAAAAGGGAAGTCATAACAACAGTGGGCAGCACTCCTTTGGCTTTGAAGCTAACTTGAGACCACTGAAAAACGAAGGAAAACCATGAGGTAAGCAAGCAACCCAGTCTCTAAAAGATACTTTTTTGCTACGCCACAGGAAAATAATGCTTATTATTTACATAAATGTAAGTAGTGAGGGACTTTGGGGATCCAAACAGCAGAAAATATTTTACAGAATATTTACTGGAAGAATCAAAATAAAATAGGGATGCTATAGAATATTGTAATGTTATTGTTTCTCCAACAAAGGCCAGTCTGTGAACAGAACTGACAGTCAGAAAAACTGTGTGCATGCAGTTCAGGGATGAAATCCAGGCTGCAGCTGTAGCTCGTGCCCAGCCAAATGGGTGACTGGCACTGATGCATTTGAGAATTTACTTTCTGATCTCTACTACTGCGCGGACCAGCAAAGAGAGCAGTGCAGGTTCTGGGCTGCAGCTTGGAGCGTAAGGGGTGGGTAACATTTTCTGAAGACTGTCCCTCATGCACAGAGGTGCGCACACACACACTCAAATAGGGCACAGCTAAGATGTTTACGACAACTTTGGAAACTGCATTTACCAGTTATGCGTTGAACTAAGCTAAACTGTATTTAATCTGCATCACAAACCTGTTTTTGTGACATTCATGAATATTCATTTTCCACAAATGCCCTTTTATTAATTACTCTCCACTGTTGTTTTCAGCCATGGACATTATCATGGTTCTCAGCTAAGGCAAGAAAAAACAACACACGTTTCATTTTGAATTGAATGGGACTACTTAAATGCTTCAAGCTATTCCTGCTGATTTGAGAGCCAATATCTGTTCTGTGGTATTCAGCTGTAGCCAAAGGTTTCTAACAAGATAGCGATAATAACAGGAACTTACTCTCACTTCCCCTTCATCCCAAAAGAACTGTAATTACCTCACATGCAGCTTTCTAATTAGGAACTGTTGTTAATACAAATCAAAAACATCAGTTAGGCAGAGGAGATTATTTGAGAAAGGCAAAAAAGTCTGTAAGACAAACTTATGCGTTAACAGCATTTATAAATACCTTTTTTGTCTGATTTTCCTCCAGTACCTCCGTGTCAGATAGTTTGGGTGGAAACGTGTGTTCAGGGTTGCTTTCCCCAGTGTCGCTTTACCCAGCGTCCTTCCCGCTGTCCCAGAACCTGTAAGAATTGCTTCCCGATTCCTCCTTGATTTGCCTCCTCATAATTTTCCAGTCTTTCCACTCTTTGTTTTTTTTTTTTTACCCAAAAGACATCTCCTCTTTTACGTGATTGTGCAGTTGAGCAGCAGCACACCTTGTACCATGCAGGCTGTTAGACCCTCTAGGTTTTACAGGAGGGAGAGCAGAGTAGCCTTTCTAACAACAAAGGATTTGGCTGAGAAGCCTCGGTTATAAGGTCGTGTATAACTCCTTCTTTAAGGGAGAGCACAACGTGGACTAAAGTGTTGTCTTCTCTGCATTGTAAAGGTTTGTCCTTGATAGACTGTGTGATAAAAGCTGGTCTGCGCACCCACACAGGGGCACAGGCAGGCAGTGGCAGGAGGGAGAACCCAAATAACACCCTGCCCCGGCAGCTCCCAGGCCCGTCCCAAGAGCCATCAGCCCATCCCCATGCACACGGAGGAGCACAGAGGCACAAGGGCAGCCGGGGGCTCCCCAGTGCCCCAGTCAGGGACATGAGCCCCCACCCGGCCCTCCCAGGGCTGCCCCAGGGGACCCTCAGCCCCACGGGCCGGAGGGACACCCGGCATCAGGGGTCCACAGGAGTGCCTTACAGTCTGAACTGCCTAGGAATATGGGACACGTTATGGGATGCAGGGAAAAGCACTTGGGGATTGTGCGAGACTTATTATGGGATGTTTGGGGAGGGGACCAAAGGCAGGGAAACGAGGGATCTGGGTGATTTGGGAAGGAACAAATACTGAAAACTAGAGAGGGATAAAGGGGTATTAAGGACCAGTGGTATGTAAACAGGGTCTGGTCACCTAGGTGGCGAGAGGATCCCTGGCCAGCTACTGGATGTCCAAAGCCAGCTTCTGGGGATCCATAGGGTTAGTGAGGGAGTGATCTGTACCAGCAAGTGGAGTGGGCTTGCACCCTCGGGGGCCTGTACACCCAAGCGCCAGCAACTGGGGAGACTGGTGGGATCCGGGAGCCAGCTACTGGATAGATCAGTATAATCATAACATAAAAATGGTGCTATGATCTAACAAACAAGGATTTACAAATGCAGGAAATTAAAAATTAAATTTATAATCCAAACCATAAAATATACAGAGACATGGGAGAGGCACTATATTACTTTCTCTATATTTTGGAGGAAGTTTTTTATTTTATTACCTCTTTTGGGTAGGCTTCAGCAGTTGTTCCCAGCATAGGAAATATATTCCTGAGGCCCAGAGGGGTGCCAGCTTTACCACAGAGACTAGCCCTCCTCTGACATCCAGACCACCAGCTCTGTTGCTACGTAAGAGGTGCCCTCATACACTGGCAAGGAGAATTACCAAAATAACTATGCAGCTCTTTAGACTTACGGTTTCCCACAGCTTTGGCTTGTTGGAGACTAGTGGCACCAGGTGAGGTATTGCCTGCTTTTGAAGTACATCATGCCTGGTTTAAAAACAAGAGTAGCAAAAAGCAAATGGCGTATAAGTAAGTTTTTCTTTGTTTTCTTCTAGTACCATTTCCAAGAATTCCTTGAAGACGTCCCTGCTGGAGCTAGAATGTCATTTTACATGGACTTTGCTGAAGCAGGATGTGGATCTTGATGAGCTAGAGGAAACTATAGGCGATCAGATTGAGTTTTTAATAAAATCCAACATCACAAATTATAATCTACTCTCCTATGTATGCCACCTAAAGAATTCAAATGAGGAAGCCCTGAGAAATCTCCAAAAAGCTGAAGAAATTATTAAAAAAAATTATCCAGATGAAATTGCCAGGAGAAGTCTTGTTACCTGGGGGAACTATGCCTGGATCTATTACCACATGGAGAGATACAAAGAAGCTCAAACTTACGTAAACAAAGTGGAAAACAGCTGCAAAAAGCTTTCAAGTACTGCTCAATGGAAGATTCAGCTTCCAGAGATCTATGCTGAGCAAGGATGGGCACTATTAAAGTTTGGGGGAAAATACTACATGAGAGCAAAGAATTGCTTTGAAAATGCTCTGAAGAATGAACCCGATAACCCAGAATTTAATGCCGGCTATGCAATAGCAATGTATCGTTTGGAAGATTTTTCTCACAGACAATGCGAAGATGTAAGCCTGTCCATCAAGCCCCTTAAGCGTGCAGTGCAACTGAATCCAAAGGATACTTTCATTGTGGCATTACTTGCATTAAAACTTCAGGACTTCAAGCAAGTTGAAGAAGGGGAGAGGTACATTGAAGCAGCAATGCAGAAAACCCCTGACCTTCCTTATGTCCTGCGATATGCTGCTAAGTTTTACAGAAGGAAAGGAGAAGTGGACAAGGCACTGAAGATTTTGAAAAAGGCCATAGCAGTGACACCAAAATCTGCCTTTTTGCATCACCAACTAGGACTCTGCTACAGAGCAAAGCTGTTTCAATTGAAAAAGACTACAAGATATCCACCTCAAGAACAAGTGGAGGAATTCATCCGACTTTCCATTTTTCATTTTAAAATGGCGACTGGCCAAAAGACAAAATTTTTTAGTGCCCATATTGACCTAGCAAACATGTATGCACAAGGAAAGAGGTATGAAAAAGCAGAAGAGACATTTCAGAAAGCGTTTCAGATAAATATTCTAACCTATAATGATAAACAAGAATACTACTACCATTATGGCAATTTTCAGCGTTTTCACATGAAATCGGAATCTGAAGCCATTAGGTATTACCTAGAAGGGCTGAAAATCGAAAAAGATTCTTATATAGGATCTAAGTGCAGAGATGCTCTGAATCAATTGTTGGAAAAGAGAATTCAGGGAGGTTTAGGAGATGCAACAGATTTCGGTACGCTTGGGCTCATTCATAATCTAAATGGTGAGAAACATAAAGCAACTGAGTGCTATGAGAAAGCCGTTGCATTGTGTCCTGACAATGAAGAATATTTGAGTGCATTATGTGAGCTACGACTTTCCATCTCAAGCTAAAGCTCCCAAAAATCCTTCACACCAAAAAAAATCCCCAAACCCAATAACATTTCAACAGACTCTCAAAACTACTTTTTTTTTTTTTTAAGCATCTCAAGCAAGCTCCCAAAAATCCTTCACACCAAAAAAAATCCCCAAACCCAATAACATTTCAACAGAGAGCTGCTTGGAAAGCCTAAATAATAGCTAAGCTATCTTAGTCTTCAATGCTAAAACTGGCAGATGAAACATGTGGTGGCATTACTTTCTAGTGATAATGTAGAAACTGCAGATGATGATTGTTCATTTGTTTGTTCATTCACAAACAGAGAGCATGCTTGGAAAGCCTAAATAATAGCTAAGCTATCTTAGTCTTCAATGCTAACACTGGTATAAAGGTTGTGTTTAAGTGATGATCTGTAGAACACAGAACTAAGCTGGAAATCAGATCTTACCTTCTACTGAGAAAAAGATAAGGGAATTGTATTGTAGTATTTCATCTATCCACTTGAAAGGCATGCTTATACACAAATGGAATTTCTGATGCTTTTTCAAATATTTAAAAAATGTCTTTCTTTAGTGTTATTTAGAAGAAGCTTTTGTTGAAGACTTGTTCAGTTTACTCCCTTGTATGTTGTTTAACTATGAAAAATAACCACTGTTTGGCTAGTCACTGGAAAGCTTACAAAACATGCATTATTTTTGTGAACTATTAAAGAGCATTGCATCCATTGACTATTGCTTTTGGTATCTCCCTGCTGATCAATCCTCATGTTAGTAGATGAAAGAAAGGGAAACGGCCATTCGAAAAAGTAACAGGGATAAAGTTTTGGCAGGATATGAAAGGGTCAGGAGACAGCCCCATTTATTTTCCCAAACTCTCAGCAAAGCTTCAGAGGTGTTGCACCAAAGAATTAAACTGTGCACAAAAGAACAGCCGTCTAGTTTACCCAAAACCGCGCTCTCAGGAACCGGTACAGCAAACATCTGGAGAGGAAGGAAAGGCAGTCTTTGAGATGCTGAAGAGATGGCTATCTGAGGCCATGCTTGTGAAACAAGCCGGGGATAGAAAACACACAAGAAACGTACTGAACTGGACATGGAGGGCAGAGCACAGCTAGAGCAAAGAGTTGCATGAGCACCAGAGAACAGGGCAGCAGAACGCAAGGGGTGTGTGGGAGAAGGGGTGGGTGCCCACAGTGTCTACGTGAATGGAAGAAAGAGCTGAAAGGACAGAGAGAATGGGTGGGGAGGTGAGTGTCTTCAGATATCCAACTAAAAGTCAGTATTCTTTACAACAGGACAGCCTACTTCCACAGTACTGTATCTTGGTATAATAGATCACGGTGCTCAGGGAAAACTAATGCTGTACTTCCAAAACACTTCTGAGTCCCAGCCAGTAGCATAGAACGAAGCAAACCAGTGACAGAGCCCATCAGGAAGGATGTGCACTTTTGTTGCCAGCCATCCTGGAGCATTCCTGCCCCCGCAACAGCAGTCCCACGTACAGACAGGATGACAGGCCTGAGGGAGTGTAAAATAGGATGCCAGATCATGAAACATCAAGAAACCTCTCCCCTCTCAGCTCTCCCTCAAAGAATCTTTCATAATACAAGCAGAAGTGATCAGGAGCTTAACAGTGTACATAATACAACCACACCTTCTTCCTAAGAAAAGACTGGGGCAAAATCCATCCTTGTTTTCCAGCCAGCTGCCAGCTTCTCTCTTAGAAACAAAGGTGGCCCTACCTAGGGAAAGAGCAGGGAGGGAGGAGAACAGGAAGGCCTGGGAGCAGGACTGACACACCACTCCTGAAAGCTGGTAGGAACAACAGTAGGGCTGAAGTGAGGAACCGGTGAATACCTATGGTGGTGTGCTCAGCTATTTGGGCAAAAGGGTACGTTAGGCAACCTCACTGCCTTTCTCAATCTTGAGGCTCATAACGTCAGCATCGTTGCCACCCAAACCCTCCTGAGGGCATGGAGGGAAGCAGGGAAGAATTCGAGGAAGAGGTGGTGTAGGTTCCCGAAGCCATGGTGACACATCTGTGCTCCCCTCCACACCCTGCCACCCGTGCCTCTCCTGCCTCTCTCCTGGAAAATGAACCTTGCAGAAACAAGGAGAAGCAGTAAAGTATTTTGAGAAAGATGTAAGCCTGAATTTTTATGAATTTTTATGAATTTTATGAATTTTTATGAAGAGTCAGAGCGGCTCAATCTTCTCCACAGAGAATAAGTTGACTGTGAGGCATAGCGATGCAAGAAATCTATTTGTTGTGCCTTACCTTCTTCGGCCTCTGGAGGATTGCACTGGACCGCAGTACTACCCAGGGATGCTCTGTGCAAACGCTGCTTTCTAGTTCTTGCCTAGTGTCTTGTAAATGAGGAGAAATGTTATTTCCCACAGGGTGGTGCTGCTGCATTGCCTGGCGTGGCGACACAGGGCAGGGCCTGAGCTTGAGCTTCAGGAAGCCGACAAAACCAAGCACGCATTTTGCAGCGTCCAAGTCCCGTGGGCAAAACCAGAACCACACAGAAGCTGAACGCCTCTCAATTCACACCCAAGTATGAATACATCACTGGAGCGGTGCAGGGAAAAAAGGAGTGAAGATAAATGAATACTTCCTGAAGGGTTATGACTCAAAAGCACCTTCTAAATTATATAGAAAACTCTACTGGAATACACCAGAATAGTTACTTAGAAGAAGGTATTATTTATTGAGGCGATCCCAACTGAGGACTTCGTTATGCTGACCATGAAGTACTGTTACAGCTTAACTTAAACGAGCTCTTCCTTCTCACATAAATTTGTAACTCTTTAGGAAGCAAACAAGGAACTGTTGTGGCAATATAAAATATATTCACCATATAGTAGCACGGACAACCTTTGTTTTTCAGGAGATAAATTATCATCCAAGCTGGCAGAAATGTTTCAGGCTCAAAGTTTTCTCTTTTTTTCTGAAAACATGGTTATTTTTCAACAGAAGGTACTTGACTCCAATGCTGTTTTCACACAATTTTTCAAGGTACAATTTATTAAGTGTTCCAAAGCCAATCTGATAAAAATTATCACTAGAACATAAGCAATTTCAAAAGAATGATGATTTCCCCATTTCAAACCTCATGGAATGGAAACAGATGGGATAACTTCAGCAGTTGTAAGCAGTTTCACTTACACTGAATTCCCATTCACTGCACGGAACAGAGTATTATCCCAGGCAGGATTCATCTGAGGTAGGATCCGTCCGTTTCTGTCTCGGACAGATGTTACCCCAGCCAAGTCGGACCACGCTGTCCCGGGCAGCCAGACAGGCTCAGCAGTGCAGTGCTCCATTCAAGCTCCTATCCGTCAGTGCTCTACAGGGCTGGTGGGAACACGCAGCGTTAGCTGGGGAAATTGTTCACAGCTAGCCCAGGTATCTCCGCCTACTGCTGCACCGTGCCAGGAAATATCCTCTGTGGAGAACAGCCTGAATATTATAGTCTCTGAAAAAAACATTGCAGATACAATAAATCATTTTTTAAAAACGGTATAATCCAGAGACTTCTATAACGCGCTGCCTGAAACATTTCACATGGTGGGCTGAAGATGAGCTGTTCAGTTTGGGTCGTGTGGACCAGGGGGTAGAGGTTTGGCATGAGGCTTTGCAAACCTGGATTGTATTGCCATTTCTTCCACTCGCAGGTCATTTCTTGTTACGCTTCCTTCCTCCTGCTTCTGAGCCGGGGAGATTCATGACAGGGCTGACATTTCACAGTGTGTTTTTTTGCACAGAAAGCATCATTCTGGTATATAAGCTTTTGTCCATTGGCTTAATTCACAGCAGAAACAGTGTTGGAAAACCCTGAAATAATTCTATCATTTTCTACAAAAGGTCTGTGTACAAAACCAGTTGAATGTTTTCTGCTGAATTAGACATTTAAAACAAGAAATATTGCCTTAATTATAAGTTAAACACAAAACAGAAAAGCCTATGAAAAATATCTTGAAATTAAAAAAAAATTCAAAAAATGCTAATAATGTAGTATACGGTATTGTTTACTAGGATAAAAATGCATATAGTACTATTCCAACAGGCTTTTAGAATATGCAGTTCTGGCATGAACAACTGCTGACACGTCATGATGTGGTAAAAAAAAAAGTAATTTTTTGTAAAGTAAATGACAGCAGTAACTTACAACTTTTTGAAATAGCTTATCTTCTTTGTAGACCACATATTCCCTACTTTTTGATATAAACTTTTGCATTAAGATCTAAAACAATATCTTCTTCACTACTAATTCCTAAAGCCACCTCTTTTTTTCCCCTCCCAAATGTGCATATTTTTCCTATCTCATTAAGAAATATCATGGATAATTTGTCTTTTTTTACGAATGTACATTAAAATCAAAATTAGGGCCCAGGACTCAATTGCCACGCAGAGCTGAAAAAAGGTTATGTCATCAGTTTTAAGCAGTTTTTGCACTCCCATCTCTTAATCTGTGGTCTGTGCATGTAAGTCATGCTACTGGCTCTGACCACATTTCTGAAGCAGGGCAGCGAGAAATGCTTTGAGCACAGACAACTGAAGTCAAACAATTTTAATATGTTATATTTGAAATATGCATGAATAATAGAACTACTTGATACACATACTATTCATATATATAAAAAATACATTATACCACTATGGCTGTAATCTTGATCTAAATCAAATTTGTGAACATCAGTCTATTTTGCTTTCCCTTCTGAGGCACAGACTGGAATAGGACACCATGAGCAACCATTGAATACACTGCAGATGATTAACAAAACTATTAGTTCAGCCCTGATAAAAATCATTTGGACTCTGCTCAATTTGCTAATCAAAACACAGAAGTGATTTACATTGCAGAACGTGAAGTTCCTCCATTGCTGACAACAGTTTCACTCTGGAAATGTAGAAACATCCCATTATTTATTAAATCATCACATCAGTAATTTACCCCCTGAGCTACATGGAGTCTATAGCTCCCATGAAGCAGCCAGCTGTAGTATATTCCTCACGCAAGTAGCGGGAAACCATTGGCAAATCGCAGCTGTTGTGTTCTGGCCATCCAGGACAAGTGACCCGATCCGCTCTTCAGTTGGCACAAACGAGTCATTTGCACCATCTGAAGATACAACTCCTGGGTCCAAGAAGAGACAGACTTGCCACTGGAGTACGCAGAAACAACTTTGTCTGCCAACATCCTCTTTACTAACAGCCTGTGGAGTGGGCAGTTTCTCAGTCATCTGCTTGCAGGGACTCTAAATTTCAACAGCTGCTGATTTTACAGGAGAAAGAGGCTCTGTATTTGGAAAACCACGAGCCTCTCCTCTGGTCTCCTGGGCTGCCTTTGGGCTTCTTCCAACTAATGCAGCTAAAGCAGGTTTGTCTATCAGCACACCTAGTCCCCTGGCACAAATTTACTCCTCTTCAGATAGTAGAAGAGCCACAGCACCTCTTCCACCCTCCCGGACAAGAATCATACCTGGAATGTGAATGTTCAGAAATTCAAGCTTTGAAGATATCCAGGAAAAAAAGCAGCAACCACCTCAAAATTTTGCTGTAGGGGGCTTGGGAAAGCACGTCTAAAACCATATTTGAAATTAAATTGCAATTTATGTACAAAATTCAGGCACACTGTAAAAATTAAAGCTGGTCCAGAGATACTTTCAGCATAAATCACAGTTTCCTGCCAGATTTCAAA